GGGGGAGGACGTTGCGGAGAGAGTGGTAGCACGGGCGGACGCTGACGCTGTGCAGGGTGGGCGAGAGGCAGCGGATGTTCATGCGGAGGGCTTGCAACAGGCGGTGGATGAGGCTGTGACGGCGGCGAGACGAGGGTGTGGGTGACGCAGGATGTGTGGTCCGGGAGACAACGACGGGTCTAGTCGTTCCGTTCTCGGGCCTGCACTTGGCTCAGGGACGACAGTCGCAGCCGGTGCCGGTGGCAGTGCATGGTGTGCCGCCGCCCGTTATCACGGATTTGGGGTCCGAACCGGTGGTTGCGCCACCGCGTCCTCCTAGTCACTTTGCTCCACAGGAGGTCCGCCGTCCTTTGGATGCAGACAAGCTGGCGGGAGAGGCTGTCCGCGATGTGACTCGCTTGGACCGGCGGGTCTTTGACCAGAGGCTACAACATCCACCATGGCAGGCGATCCCTCAAGTTCCATGGGGTCCTGCATCGCCGATGTGGTTTGGGTCTACCTCCACCGGAGCACGTACGGCGGGAGATGTTCCAGGGGTTTCAGGTGGCGTTGTGGAGACGGCGCCACGTACACGAGACATGCCACCCCCTCCTCCTAGACCACCTGTAGGTGATCCGTCATCGTCGCCCACAGGCAGAGGCTCTCGATCTCCACACACGCCTGGGAGGTCGAGGATTCGGGACACTACAGCCGTTGTGGGGGACGTGAGTGACACAGCGTTGTTCGGGAGGACAGACAGATTTGGATTCCACCCGCCATGTCACGGAGCACACTGCACGTCTACAGCCTGGTTTGGGACCCCGCGGCGGCAGGATGACCGCAGGGAGGGAGGTGGCAGCATCAGGTTGTGAGCCTCAGCGAGGTCGCGGCAGAGGAGTGTCCGCCGATAGCTTGGAGTATGCTCTGATGGCAGCGACGCGTGCCGTACATGAGCAGACTCCGCGCAAGCGCGGAGTGCCTCCTCGTCCACGCCCCGTGCCTGCAGAGGGAGGAGATGCACTTGGAGAGACTTCGGGGGCAGAGGGGTTGGGGATGCCTCGTGGATCGCGCCGTGAGCAGATGGTTACAGAGGCTAGTGCGAGGGTTGTTGTGTTGAGGAAGGCAGGAGCCCCTGTCACCTCGAGGAGGATGATCCTGAGACAGATGTGGCAGTGCGGGAGGAGGACGAGGACTATGAGGGCGAGGAGGAGGGAGAGGAGGAGAGCGAGAGAGGTTCCGATGGTGACTACGACCATGACGAGCACGAGCCCCCACCTCCCCCACCGAAAGGTGCAGCCAGATGGCGCGCTGCGCAGACTTCTTCATCATTACGAGGGAGGAGTTCGACATCCGGCACGCGAGGGGGTACGAGGAGACAGAGCGGGAAGGGGAAGAAGCGTCGTTGACTGATGAGGCCAACACTTCTTTTTCCCCTGCTCGCACTGCGGTTCGTCATGTTGTGCGGTCCTAGTTTTTTTGGTCGTCTCGTCTTGTCTTAGTGTTGTTAGGCTCTCAGTGGTTGTGTGCGTGCAACGTGCTACAGATGTATTAGATGATGTTTCCTTTGTTTTCGGTGTGTATCATTTTGGTACCAGTATGGTGTTTGTAGAGTTGCGTTGTACCAGTAGGGTGTTTCAGAGTAGCTACGACACGACTTGTACAGTACAGTTTCGTTTGTTTTTTTTCGACATGTGGTACCACTGCCTTAGCAGTAGCCTGTAGGATACATTGCATATGTTGCATTTTTCATTTATGTTTTCAGTGACAGGTACTTTGCGTCGTTGAGGACTTTTCATGCACAACACATTTTCCATGTACAGTTCCAGTTTCGTTTAATGCTCGTCGTGGTCGCCGTGCGCGAGCTTTCGTGACCATTTTCATCTCGAGTGATTTTATATATTTCATTGTTGTTATCATTTGCAATCTCATTTCCTACGTTTGACGCCGTTTGTTTCTTGTACAATTCTACTTTAGTTTTTTGCCTGAAGAGTTGCTTGTGTGGTTGTTCTTTTTTTTTTTCTTTTCTGTGT